ATAAAAAAAAGTAGGAGAAAATAACAACAAAATTAAATAATACATGTTCTAAAGTAAGAGACCCTGACGAAGTTGTCTTTGGTGAAAAATTATGTATTATATTTTTAATATAACAGAGATAATATAATTCCAATAATTCAATTTTTCACTAAAAGGTGTTGATTTATAAGTCAAAGTTAGGGTTTGATTTATTTGCAGCGAAATTACGATTTGCGAATCTTCTAATAAAAGTGTAAATAACTTGACTTTAATCAAATTTTATAGAAACTCAACACAAGAATTAGTCAAAAACACACTCAGCACTAAAAAATAAAATAACATAAACAATATATCATAAACTGAAATAAAATAATATTAAAAATGCCTATATATTTAAATTAAATTCATTATTACTTATATATTCCCAACTTTCATCATTCATACGTTTAAATAAAATCGGAATTATTTAAATCCTATTGATTTTTATTATTTTTAAAATTACCATTTTAATTATATATTTTTTTAAAAAAATCCTCTCCTTCGTAATTAAATAACACAGGCTAATTTTAATTCCAATTCAAGCTCTGTTGTACATTTGAACGGCTGTGATTTTACATCATAAGTTTCCAATATTGACTGCCAATTCGTCAAGCACGAAGAAAAAAGAGTCTATGGGGTGTGCTCCAGTAAGGAGGACCCCACCAAAAGCAGAAGTGGACATTTAAGATCGCGAAAGAGTGGGGTCCACGAAAACAACCCCAAAATCCCTAATCAACTCGTAGGCGTTTGACGTCGTTTTCGACGGTGGAAAGACGCATTACACATTACAATCATACTATGTATTTATCGATATTGTTGAAAGCAAAAACACCCACCCGCATAAAATACATTTCTGTCTATTTAATATTATATTTTAAATTTACTAAATAATTTTATTAATGCATAAAATATTAATCACAAAAAGTACATATAGAAAAATAAATATTTTGCAATCTGTTCTAACCCAGTTCATACGTTAACGGACCCAAAAGAAAATTCAAACCAATATATAACCTCATTGAAATATAATTCCCAATAATAATTTGATTAAACATCAATTATATAAAATACCATTTTTAAATACTCTATATATAATATGTTAAATTTCGTTTTTAATATTTTTAGATAATAAGTTAATTAAACCAAATAACTTCATGAAATATAATTCTTAACGAGAATTTAGAATCGGTTAATATACTATAATATTTATTTTACATTTGTTAAATATATGTGTTAATATTTATTGTTTTAGCATTTTTTTTAGAATAAATGAAACGTAAATCACGGAACAGATATACATATATATCATAAAGTTTATCATGAAATTTTCATTATAAAAAACATACATGTTAATTATCGTCGTGCCAACTAGTATATCGAGATAATAATAGCCATCCAAATTATCAACGCAGACGAAAAATCAATCACAAGATGTTCTTGAAGAATTTGTTTATTATGATAACACGATAATGATGAATATGATTTATTTTTATATGTTATTCTATAAATAATTAACTATAATTTTACTACTATGTATGTAATATAAGTATGAATAATTTGTATACTATATAGAGAACTAAAATAATATTTTCTATAAATAATAATTATATAAAAGTGAATTTATTTATGATAGCAAATAGTATCTTTACGTCAGATAAAACTATCTCAATACTTTTTGTTTGAGGTGAATAATTTTTTTATAAATTTCATCGATAAATTCAAATTTTAATATTATTATATATAATAAATCAATATATTTATTAAAAATAATAATAATAAAACCTAATTGAGAATATTAAATCAATACATCAGTTTAAGAACATAAGTTACATCTTTATAGAAGCTTATACCCTAAATTTTTACGAATAACTTGCAAGATTAATGTGAAATGTTGGTGAAAATATTTTTATATTTAGGACATGTAAATAGATAACTATTATTATTTTAATTTTATTTTTTTATATATAAAATTTGGGAATAGATAATTATTTTGAAACATTTTTAAATTTATATCGTACATAACAATCCTCCTATTATATTTTACATTATGACTAATTATCTTATCATATTGAGTGATATAATATTTATTTTTTAATTAATATTTTTAATATAATTACGTGCTGTATAAAAAACTTTAAAAATAAAATTTTTACATATAAATATGCAAGATATATGCTTTTAAACATTTATATAAATAGAGTTTATACTATCAAATATATTTATAATAAATTTTTTAAAGATCACGATGATTAACATTAAAACATTATTTTTTGCGTGCACAATTTTGCTTATGGCATGCTAATCTTTATGTGGGACATAAGATTATATGGTTGCATACTCTCGTTTAAATTTGTCTTATTTTTATAGTAACGCATCAAAATCATATTCTTATAATATTTTTATTCAATTAAATATTTTGAATTTAGAACTTACATGTTCATTTTTCATTCTAAAACATGGATAAAATACTAAAGCTAGGTAAAAAAAAAAAAAAAATCGTTATCATAATTTATCACATTTAATTTATAATTGAATCAATTTTACTTATGTGTTCAATTTCACAACTATAGATTTATGTTTTTACATGTTAATAAATAAATCAAAGAAATATTTATTCTTAATTGAATGTATAATTAACTTATAATTGAGATGTTACTTTGTTTTAAATTTATATAATATATGTATTATATTATCATTCTTACTCGACAAAATTTAAATATAACAACATTCAAAACAATTAAAGTTAATTTTTAAATTTCATTATATATTATAGAAAAAAAAAAAAAGTTAATAGTATTGCATCTTGTTCAATTATCAAGCAGTATAAATAAAGATTAAATTTTTAGTTTTAAGCTCGATTTAAAGATTATATAATAAATATATATCAATCATGTGATGGTATATTTTTCTTAATATTTTTAAAAAATAAATAAAAAAATAGAATATCTCAACACGGTACAGATTTTGCCCACTAATTGAGTGTTAAGAAAATGGATTGTTGTTGAATGAAATAAAACGTAACAGAATTGCTGACTTCAGCACATGTGAGACTAAATAGCTTGCAAGAAAAGTTGAAACATTTTTCTCAAAATTTTTCCACGTGGCGTCTTCTGAATGGATAAACTACATAGGTCCATGGATTCTCTGTCGTACTAGATTGCTTCCCAGTAGCCGCCCCCTACCTGACAGTGGATAAGAAATCCACTAGATTAATGCCACGTTGCGTAATAATAAAGTTATTTAGCCGGCAAAGTCAACAACTTTTGGGCAGAAACAGCATTTACACCGTTTAGTCAACTCCACAAAATGGTTCAGAAGTGAATTAATTTCATTGGCCTCTTCAGAATAGGAAAATGACGTGTTAGACGTAATTCGCCGTCGAATATATTTTTACATTTTCCAAATCTTAATAAATATATATTTTTTAAAAGCTCTGATTTTTTTCTCGATAATTTAATATTTTAAAAATGTTAACTTGACTTTACTGAGTTTTTTTAGGCGAGCCTAGGATTGGGTCGTGGGATATTTTTAATTAAAATTTAAATTTGTATTGATGTTTTAATTTATTTTATTAATAAATCTTAAAAAGATTTTTTCAAGCTCAGTTTTCTATCAAAAACGAATTGACTAAATGTTAAATCAAATAGAGCCCATCGGCCCAATTAAGCCCCGAGCCCATCATCTATCTTTAATGTTTGTTATTATAATTTAATTTTTAAACTTTTAATTAATATTTCACTACGGTACGTTTTATTACCTGCTTGATTTGAAGCAGAGAAATAAAAAATTACGAAAATTATAAAGTAAAAATAATCTTTTAAACCAATATTAATAGTAATAAATGAATAATGAATTTTTGCATGCATAATGCTTTTTAAAAAAAAAAAAAAAAAAATCGTCATTTAAAATCAATTTTATCATTTTATGAAACAAATTTATTGCTTTAAAATTTTTAATTATCATGGTGTGGGTAGCCGTGTATAATAATAATATGACGGATGGTGTTTAAAAGCTTCCACCCACACAACACCATGTTATTTATTTAATATTACAAATATGTCAATGTAATTTTATTAATATATATAAAAATTAAAAATATATATAAAATTCCATCAATCACTATAAAATTTAATTATAACTTATTATTGTTATTATTTTAGTATAACATAACATAGAAAACTAGTTGTTTAATTTTTTAATATCATTTTTAACTTTTAATAAGTTAATTAGGTTTACCTTTTTCTTTATTGATTAATTATTATTATGGAGTAAATGGAAAATATTTATTGGATATCCTCCAATAAATTTACTTCAAAGCTTAATTATATATTTTAAAGAATTAAAATTATAGCATATTTTTATACAGCAAAAGGAAGTATACTCTCTTTTAACAAAGAAATGTGGATTAAAAAATATCACATGAAAACACTGGGCATTTTTTTATTTAATCTAATGTGGAAAAATATGAATTATATTTAACATAATATAATGTAATTAAATTTAACATAAACCAGTACCCACAGCCCAGTGGATAGAAGCTGGCCCAAAATATGTGCATCTGGTTCAAGAAATTAGGGCTTCTAAGCTTAGTTTGTATCATAATGTTACAGCCCAGCCCAAATATTGTGGGAGCCCAGAGAGATTATTTTACAAAATTTCACAAAAACCTTATCATTATGATAAAAACTAATGTCTTGATAAAAATTATTTATTTACTTTTAAAGCTGGATTAGATTGGAATTTGAACTCATATTTGAATTTCTACAAATATATAAATATATATATATATATATATATATTATTTCATCTAAGTGATGTTCTCTTGACAGAGTCCTCATAATTTCATCACACATTAAGATCAAATTATCATAAATTTTTTCTCAAAACAAAGATTAGTTTGATGTCTGTGAAAAATAAATATGTTTGTATTTATTTATTTTTCTAATTACCTGCATGATTTGTTTCAATTGATAAAAAGAAAATGCAGGTTAGTATATGGACCCCATAACATTATACATTCTTACAAAACTAGTAACCAAAAAAAAAAAAACCTATGGGAGCCAAAGGAGACTTTTTAGATCCCTTCAAGCTATGTACCAAGAGCTACATTATACACTTACTTACAACAAAACATAAGTGAACCAAAAAGAATCAGCTCAGATTAATTTTTGCAGGAAGGCATATTCCAGGGGCTTGCTCTTCCACACTTGCCCCTTCACAAGCAACTAATTTCACAACACACTGAGCAGTTATCTTATATTTCCTCCTCGCCTTGGTAAAGCTCTGGCTAAGGACATTTTCAACCCAATCCTCAATGGCTCTCTCCTTGTCTGATAACCAAGCAGCCGCAAGCATTTGTACTATTACTTCTTGATCGATGTCCAGCAGAGTTTCATGCCCAAAACTCCTCTGTAAATGTTGGTGGATATTCTTGACGAGTTTCTCAGCAAGAGCATCAAAATTGAATGGTTTAAAAACTACCTTCTCATCTACTTGATCGAGGAAGTCTTCCAACCAAGCTTCCGAGTTCTCAGAGATGGAATCACTGTCAGCTTCCTGGGAATTGATGTCTTCTTCTGTCTCCTCGACGGGAAGATTCAAATCTAGATAGGATCTCAGCATCTTCGTAGCCCGTCTCTGTTGTCCTTCCTCTTCTGGGTTTGTACAAGTGCTGACACCTATCAATTTTCTTTTATTTGTAAATGCTGCATTGAGAGTTTCCTCTTTTAGACTAATTCTGATGTTCATGTCATTACTTCTCCTAGCATCTTCAGAGCTGCTACTGACTTTTATTTGCATTTGCCAGCTTTTAGCTCCGAGTATTCTTTCCTCCAAAAACTTTGTTGGGTTCTTCTTCAAAACAACATTTTTATCACCTTTTATGATGGTTGATGTTGTTACAAAGACCATATTGTTGGTGCTGCTTTCTCTCCCGTGCGAGTCCGGAAACTTACCTGTCCTAATGGCCCGCGACAAACTGGTTTGGGTCAATAAATCAGCCTTATCAACATTTTCTAGGAAGACAACTGAATTGGGTTTCCTACCCAACTCCCCAGCAATGAAATCAACAACCATTCTCCGAAATTTCACCTCACAATCATTTGATTCTTGACCACCAATTATCCTGTTCGACTGGCTATCATAGTCTTCGGAGATCAAATCCACTGAGATTAAATTTTCCTGGCTCCCAAAAATCATCTCAGCTAGTGCAGAGGCAATTTTTTTCTTTCCAACTCTGTCGGGTCCGAGGAGAGAAAGCCAAATGTCTCCTCTAGAATTTGACCTCCGATGCTTTGTATTTCCAGTTCTACATCTGCATAGAGCTTGACTAATCATACAGATGGCTTCATTTTGCCAGCCAACTTTTTCAGCAAGAAATTTGCTAATTGCCTTGGAATCTCCGGGATCTAACCGCTCTGATGTAGGACCAGAACAGGAAGAGAAATGGGCATTCTGGTGTGAAGTATTCTCACTGTTTGATTCAAACTCAGTAGATATGGAACCTGAGTAGTGCTGAAGCTGCCCTCTATGATCCTGTAATTTTGGAGTGTTGGCCTCCTGACTAGCTGACGCATAAAGAGTCCCCAACCCTAAATCTGTAGTGACAGAGGTAATGGACAAAGAGGTTGTGCAGCTACCAAGTGGACTCACACTGGACACAGGATTAGGAGGTAATAAACATCTCTCTTTTTGCTCGCTTCTTGAGACTTCTACTGACAGCCTAGGTTGGAAACTTATATTTTCAGCCACAAAGGTCGGAGATATTGGTATCTTCTGCTTCGCTAAAAGGTTGTCTTGCATGGTCATGTTTATACAAGGACTTATCACATGTTCACTTTCATCTATGGAGCGATCTTTACTATTGGTTTCATTCCTATCAGCAACAAATTGAAAGCCCTCAGCAGCCGGGGAATGGGATATTGCCTGGGGAATGTCTAAGTTAGGGAATTGTTGGATGTGATGCAGACGCTGGCAAATATCATTCCACTTCTTTTGCAGTCCTGCAATTCTAGCATTCAATGTCACTCCATCGTTTTTGGCCTGCACTGAATGAGTCGCAAATCTTAAATACCTACTGTGACAGGGAATGATTGAAAACTGATAAAAAAACTGAAAATGGAAGAACAAATTCTCCCTATGCATGACTGCAGATGAGTTTTTAAAAAAATTAAAACTAGAGAGGGCTAACACACCTTTGTCACATCCACTTCCTTGTCTGTGCTCTGTCCTGTCATTCTCAACCAAGGAGGTAAACTATCAGAATACTGATCAGCAGCTGAAATGGTTGATTCCACCTTTAGAACTCCAGCAACTTCTTGTTCATACTTTTCGTTGCACAAGTGACATCGAGGTGTAAATCGATTCAAGTTACTAAATGGACTGCTGAAGTCAGATGGTGTAGAAAAAAACCCAGCAAACGGAACAAAGGACCTCATCAAGCTGAAAATGTATCAATGAGCACGGAACTGTGAGACCCAATGGATTAAACGAAAAAGGTCAGAAGTTGAAGTTCGTGGATGATATAGCCACATGCATCTGACGTAAACAGATTTTACAACAGCTCCAATCTTAACATGCTACAAAAGACTTCTTCATGCATTGTTAAATTCATGAATGCTCTTGGATGTCATTCCCAGATTAGATACCTCACTTATGTCTGTTAGAGAAAGAAAATAATGCCGAAACCCTAACTAGAGGAAGCACAATGCAAGAAGTGCCCATTTTAGCCTCAGTAAGGGTAGTAACACAAGATTGGGCAATCATCGGAACAAAAAGATCCACAAACAGGTGTGTGCAGATAAAATACCAATAGCTGCAGAGCTCAGTCAAGCAAAGAACACTCCTTACATATGTACGTCTTGGGATTTTATGATAGAAGACCATGTCAACTAGATTTAACAAAAGTACTGACTGAAGAGGCTTTTCCACAATGGTGTACTATATGTAATTTTGAATTTTGTACAGCACATAAAGAAAAATTATTTCTCCTTCCATGAGGCAAACCTTTAAAACCGGAGGTTCTTTTACTCTTATATATGCATACTCTATATTTTATATACATGTATTCTAGAAAAGCTCACTCAGAGTTTTTTTTAAAACCAAAAAAAAAAAAAGTCGTTCTCCTCCGATGAGGCAAAGCTTTGAAAGCAGAGGGAAAGAATTTGCCAATTTAGAAACAAGAACTATTCATCTGGCTACATGAATTTAATATGTCTTAAAATTATATTAAAATGAAAAAGAAAACTATATTAAAAATGCACCATATCCTGCTGCTGCCATCTGATTGACTGCAGAAGAGCTCAGTTATTCATACAAATAAACAATTATATTGTGCATCTGCTTTTAAACTTTTGAAGCAACACTAGATAACAGAATAGAAAAAAATACAACAAATGATAAGAGTATCAAAAGGGAAAGAAAGATCCACCTGGGTTTAGAAGAAACCCTATCAAGTAAATTCGAAGAAGAGATAGGCAGCAGATGCAGATCCCATTCCTTCTCTATACTCGGATACCGGGACAAAAACTTTGAGTAAGTCTCAGAACTTGCCGCTGCCCCCATCAACCACAACTTCCCTCCATGAATAGGCAAAAAGCTTGTCAATTTAGAAACCAGAGAGCTTAAAGCATCGCTAGAAGTAGAAGCAGAATCCTCTCCTAATAACACCTTCAAATCACCAAAATTCATAACCAAGCCAGACCCAGTACAACGCTGCAGAATCTGCCCAATCTCCTTAAGCTTCAAATCCATACTCTCCTCGTTGTTTCCATCAACAAACTCAATAATTTCCTTTTCGATGCTGATTACGCTCAGACCGCTAAGCGCTGGAGGTAAAACAGCCGTTTTGCCTCTCTGTATAAAGTCGCTGAAGCTTCTTAAAGCATCGCTAGCTGAAATCCCAACAAGCAACGGGTTTCTCTTATCCTTTCTAGCTAACACTTCGGTGATTTTCCTGCAGTTATCATCGAAATCTTCAGAGCCGTAGTAAGGAAGGCCGAATCCTCTCCGACCCAGGTCGGAATCCGTCAAGTTACAGAGGAAAATGGGTGGACACCGGCTTCGAGAGAATCGAGGAGCAAGTTGGGTCATAGGTGGGTGAAGTATAGCAACTTTTATCTCACAGCTCCTAAACCCAGCTTCCTCAAAAACCCGACTCACAATCGGATCATCGAGAATCGAGAGTATGAAATACTTGAGCTCCACCTTTAAAAGTGATGCAGTCGGGTTGGTACTATTGCTGCTGCTGTGCATCTGCTGCAAGTGATAGCTCTCAGGATGCCTTCTCTGGCTCGCTTGCGACCGCTTAATCGCCGCCATCAACGAGTTAGAGATCGGCGGGTCCTCCACCGACTTCGACGACTGCATCCGGTCAAGCGACACCCCTAAGCAGAGCTCCAAAGCGCGAAATTGCAGACGCGCGGAGTAACTGTTACCTCGCGCGCGTGCGCAAGCTTCCCGCAGCGTCGACGAAGGCATCGCGAGAAGGGCCGACACAGCGTGCAACGACGTCGTTTGCGCATGACTCCTACGACGCGCAACCGCAACAGCATCGTCTAATGCACGCGCCGCCTCTTCCGTCAAGCATTGCCTCGCTGCGGTCACCGGCGTCGGCATCGCCGGCCAGCACACACCTATATAAACACACCCGCCTCCCCAGATATTAAAATATAGTAATAATAAAAAAAAAAACCAACCAAACACCACCCAACAATGAATTACGTGTCTGGTCTGTTTATCCGATTTTTTTCCCCTTTAATTTTATGCGCGCAGCTCGTTTTGTTTGTCTTGTTTGTTTGTTTAGAAATAAAAAAATGGGGGAACAGAAAAAGATTGAAAGAGTGTTTACTTCATCAACTTTTTGCAATAATTTATTGGGTACTGGCACAAGATAGATGAAAGAGAAAGAGAAAAAGAAAAAGGAAGAAGAAGAAGAAGAATGAGATAGAGGGAGAGAGATAGGATGCTGACTTGGGGGTGGTAGTAGTAGTAATGGCTACTGTTCTTGTTTGTTGGTTTCAAGTGTGGGTCCATTTCTTATAGCACAAAGAACAAACACATGGTGAGTATAGATTCTCTTTTCCCAGATTGGCCCCCTAAAGAAAGATCAGAGGTCTCCTTCCTCCATCAATGGCTTCCCCCCAATACTTTACTGTAATTATTAAACTCGCCCACCATTAGTCCACATTTCTTTTCTTTAACCCCATAAATATATATTAATATACCTACATGGGTATGTGGGTATATGATAGATTCCGTGTCCATTGAAGCAAATTGGGGGAAGCGAGGGGAGTCACTGTCGAGCTTCGGGGGTTAAAATGAAACTTTATTTTTTGTAATTAGGGTATTCAGAGATGGGTCAGGGCTAAATTTGTATGGATTATATATGTAAGTGATAAGGTGGCATAGAAGAGGGAGTAGGAGGAGCAGTAAGATCCCTTCAACCCCACCACCACCACACACAATATGAAGTCGCTTTCTTGCAAAAAGTAGAACCTTTCCTCGTTGTCATTCTTCTCTATTTATTATAACCCCACCTTTTTTATTTATTTACTTTTTTGGAATCTCAAGATATTTTTATTTGCAATTAATTATATCTGACTGTGCTCTAAATTATAACATCAATATAATTATTAAGATCGTCCACGTTACATTTGAATATTACAAGTTAAATAATTATATTATTGATTAATTTTAAATTTATAATTTAATTTATTAATGTGCTGATAGTAAAATTACGATGAATAAATTGAATTTCGTTATAATAAATTATTATGATCGTGACTGAAGAAATATATTATTGGTTAGCTTAATTTTGATTATTTAATACCTCATCTAATCTTTTTATTTTAAAAAATATAAAACTACATTATTCTTATAATTGATAATAAATAAATAGCTCCCTATCATTAAATTAAAACATAGTTAAACAAATTCTTGTATATCAAATAATTGCAATATATGCATACATTGACAGTAAAACGCAGCTTTAATTCAATTGCATTTAATATCTACACAATGGAAATATCTAAATGCAATTTACTTTTTTCTACTTTGTATTTTATTTTGTTATAAAATACTAATTAGTTCTTTGCGAGGCTGTTGTTGAATTTATTGTAGTAGAAATTTGAGTATGAACAAACTAAAAAAGCTATAGAAATCACCCTATCTTTCGTGACACTTCCATTCCATTTAATTTCTACCAAATTTATTGGCAAATAAAGATAAAACTATATTATTTTAATTACTAAAACATAATTACCCATTGAATTGAATAAGACATCGATGGATTATATTACTAATCCACTATCCATTAGTTGAATTATTATATCATAAAATTACAATATTAAATAATAAAAATAGACAAAATTATATATTAAAATATATTATTGTATTTAGATCTAATTTTTAATTACAAAATCAATATTTTTATTTAAATTAAAAAAATGTAAATGTTCAAAAATTAATCGAATAATAATATTAAAATTTATAAAATATTAGCATAATCAATTAACAATTTAAATTCTACATTCATTGTACAATTTAATCAGAATACTCAGTAGAATTACGAAAATATCTATTGAAGTAAATTAAAACAGTAGAAATAAAAATGTAACTAAAAACCTACGGAGTCGACCTTCGCTGGGCAACTGATAGAAAACAGGAGGCAACCTTTAATTTGTAACTTTCTTACTGCTCAGGATCCAGATCTTGATCGTCCTGATCTGAAATTATT